ATATAGCCAACAATATTATTGAAACCTCAAGGTTTCTAACATTTTATAGAAGTGTTATTATTAAAGTATCTCTATTCTTAAAATATGGCTTAAGAACTTATGGCTGCCATCATATATGCTAAGAATTTGTTGTTTAAGAGAAGTATTTTAAACACATTGGCCTGCTGTATAACAAAATATCTGTAGATCCCAGCCATGTTCTGATTCCATTTTCTAATCCTCAAATATTTTATATCTCTCTGCTTCTTCGAATATCGCCCTGCCCATGGTCCGCCTTTGTTCTATTTCTGGTTAATCTGGCTTGTGGTCTATCAATTTTGTTTATCTTTTCAAAGAAACAACTTTCTGTTTCATGTTTCTTTATATTTTTTTTTAGTTTCCATTTCCTTTAGTTCTGCTCTTAGTTTGGTTATTTCTTTTCTTCTGTTGGATTTGAGTTTGTTTTGTTCTTCTTTTTCTAGTTCCTTGAGATGTGACATTAGGTCGTTAATTTGTGATCTTTCTGTCTTTTTGATGACGGCATTTAAGACTATGGATTTTCCACTTAGATTTATGTTTGTTGTATTCCATAGATCGTGAAAGCTAGTGTCCCATTTGGCATTCAGTTCAAGGAATCTTTTGATTTTCATCTTAATTTGATCACTGGCCCAAGGATCATTCAGCAGCAGGTTGTTTAATTGCCATGACTTTGTGTAGAATTGAATATTTCTCTTGGAATGATTTCTGGTTTTATTCTACTGTGGTATGAGAATGTTCATTGTATGATTTAAAATTTTTTGAATTCGCCAAAACTTGTTTTGTGGTCTGAGATATAATGAATCTTGGAAAATGTCCCATGTGATAATATGAATAATATATATTCAGTAGTTTTTGGGTAGAATGTCCTGTAAATGTCTATTAGGTCCATTTGTTCTAGAGTCTCACTTAAGTCCATTGTTTCTTCATTCAATTTCTACTTTGATGATCTGCCCAGTTCTGTTAGTGGGGTATTAAAGTCCCTGGCTATAAAGATGCTATTGTTTATTTGTTTGTTAAGATCTTGCAGAATTTGCTTTATGAATCTCAAATCTCCTCTGTTAGGTGCATATGTTTTTAGGATTGTTGTCTGTTATTGTTAAATTGCTCCCATTACCTTTATATAATCACCATCTTTGTCTTATTTTCCCATTGGTGATTTAAAGTCTATTTTATTTGATATGAGAATGGTATACCTGCTCACTTTTGGTTTCCATTTTCATAGAATATTTTTTTCTGTCTCTTTACCTTGAGTCTGTGTGTGTCCTTATGGGTTAGATGTGTTTCCTGGAGACAGAAAATACTTTGATTGTATTTTTTTCATCCATTCAGCCAGTCTAAGTCTTTCAAGTGGTACTTTCAGACCATTTACATTGAGTGTTAGTATTGATATGTGGGATGCTGTTATGTTCATCATGTTGAATAATATTTTATTGTTTTGTTCTTCCTCTTGTGCTACTTCTTTTATAAGAACAGTGAGCTTTAAATTTTGGGTGTTGTTACACTGGTGGCTATTTATTGCATTGTTCTATGTATAATGCACCTTTTAGTATTTCCTGTATAACAGATCTAGTAGGGACAAATTCCCTTAGTGTTTGCTTGTCTGGAAAAGCCTTCATTTCTCCATCATTTAGGAAACTTAGTTTTGCAGGATAAATAATTCTTGTCTGTCAGTTGTTCTGCTTAAGAAGATTAACAGTGGGGCCCCAATCCTTTCTGGCTTGTAAGGTCTCTGCTGAGAAGTCTGCTTTTAGTCTGATGAGTTTTCCTTTATAGGTTAGTTGTTTTTTTATTGCAACTTGTACAATTTTCTCCTTTATTTTGACTTTGGCCATGTTGATGATTATGTGTCTTGGAGATGTGCTATTTGCTATGAATCTTCCTGGTGTTTGTTTACCATCTTATATCTGGATATCTGAATCTCTGGCAATAGCAGCAAAGTTCCTCGTAATTCCCTAGAGTAGGTTTTTCTGTGCTTTTTGATTTTTCTTCTTCTCCCTCTGACATACCTCATACGTATAATTCATACATTGGCTCATTACACATAGTGCCATATTTCTCTGAGTGATTGTTCATTCTTTTGTCTTTTTCCTGTGTCTTTGACTGACTGGGTTGGTTCTAAAGCCTTGTCTTAAAGCTCTGAGATTCTTTCTTCTGTTTGTTCTAGTCTGTTGTTGAAGCTTTCTGCTGTATTTTATAATTTCCTGAATGACTCTCTCATTTCTTTAAGTTCTGTTATATGCTTTCTTATGTTGTTTATCTCTTTATTGAGTTTTTCATATTTTTTCATTCCCATCCTGAAATGTTTTTTTGTTGTTGTTGTTGTTTGTTTCTTCATTTTGGTTTTCAACTTTCTCCTAAATTGCATTCATCTTGTTTATCATCCATATTCTGAATTCCATTTCCCATATTCGACAATTTCCTTTTGGTTGGAGTCCATTGCTGTGGATATATTGTGATCCTTTGGGGGTGTCAAACTAGCTTGTTTTTTCATGTTGCCAGAATTATTTTGCTGATTACTTCTCATCCAAAACGTCTTCTCTTAGCTCAGGGCTGATAGGTTTGTGGTACACCTGTTTTCCTTTGCTTAGAACTCTCCTATTTAGTGAGGAGGAGAAATCCCCAGATAGTGCCTTTGTGTCCTACTCCGAAGCACTGACCCAGTGGGAAAGGGATGTATGTACTGAGAACCTGTAACACACCTGTTCTTCTGCAACATCCTGTTCCCTTGCCGTCGTTACAGTCCAAATTGGTGCTGGGGGATATTCATTTGGATTGGTGGGTTGGTCCCCAGGCCTCTATTAGAAGCTTGGGCAGGGAGCCAGGCAAGTCCCTCCCCATGGAGGCAGGTAGTATGACCTTGGCCAGCACCTAGGCAGGTCGTGTGACTTTGGTGGTTGCCTAGATGTGTTACAGGACTTTAGTCTGTAGTGGGACATGTCATAGGACGTTGATAGGTGTCTGGGCATGTCTTGGGACTGTAGCTGGTGACCGGACAGGTCACAGGACCTTTTCAGGTGCCTGGGCACATTGTAGGATCTTGGTCCATACCTGGGAGGGTTGTGGGACCACAGCCAGTGGCAGGGTGGGTAGCAAGAACTTGGTGGGTGCCTGTGCGAGGTGTGGGACCTTGGCGGGCACCTGGACAGTTCGGGCATCTTGGCTGTTGCCTGGGTGGTTTGCAGGTTTGTAGGACCATAGCCAGCAGCAGGGTAACCCCTCGGGCGCAGCAGCTGGGCCATCCACAACTGCCCGGGTAGGAGTGATATGTGGCACCCTGCCAGGGAGTCATGGTGACTGGAGCTCTCCCTCTGCTCAGGTCTGAGTGTGACA